GCGTCAGACCCCTCAGCCGTCCCTGCTGGCAATGACGGGTGATTCGGGTAGATCTGGGTGGAAGAAGACGATCTGCCAAATATTGAGGTCCCAAACCGTTTAGGGCTTTATAAGTGATCATTAGCACTTTGAAGTCGACGCAGAAATGGATGGGCAACCAGTGCAAAGCAGCCAGAGTGGGGGAGATGTGTTGGTGTTTTCTCACCCCACTAAGTAGCCTGGCTGCTGCATTCTGGACCAAATTTCCGTTGGTCTCTATAAGTCAGTTCTGACTTGACAGCACAGACCAACAAAGAAATAGCATAAATAGTGAAAAAGCAAGCAACACTATAAAACACACACCACCTTGTTAAAAGCTGCAGTGCATTTGTTCTGTTATTTCCAATGCTTGAGAAAACTTACATTCCTAACTTTGTCCCATCATCTCTTTTAAAAGTCACCTTAGGTAAAGGTAAAGGTTCCCCTTGACAATTTTTGTCCAGTCGTGTTCACCTCTAAGGGGCGGTGCTCATCCCCGTTTCCAAGCCATAGAACTCAGCGTTTGTCCGAAGAGAATCTTCCGTGGTCACATGGCCAGTGCGACTTAGACACGGAACGCTGTTACCTTCCCATCGAGGTGGTCCCTATTTATCTACTTGCATTTGCATGCTTTCGAACCGCTAGGTTGGCGGGAGCTGGGACAAGCGACGGGAGCTCGCTCCGTCGCGTGGATTCGATCTTATGACTGCTGGTCTTCTGACCCTGCAGCACAGGCTTCTGCGGTTTAGTCCGCAGCGCCACCACATCATCTTAACTTTGCCTCATTCTGTATAGTTTATTAAAAGGCAGTTCTCCTATTTATTTGTGACATCTGAAAGTCTTAACTACATCCACAACAAGACTGCTTTGCTTCCATCAAATCTCTTGGAGACCCAAATAAATGGGCCTCCAAGCATACTTCCAAGTAAGTGCAGGGGGAAGAAAAAGGCACTGTATGCAGTTCAGCTGTCTTATAAGAACGCTCTCCAGCTTTTGTCTGAGAGCTTGCCGAAGAAAGCAGGTCAGCTTCACTCAAGCAAATGTGCTCTTGCTGATTTCTCCTGGCTGGTGGGGTGGATGACTGTGAAGCACCAGCCATTCAGGGTAGAGATGAGAGATATTATAAAAGCAACATATTCATTATTATTCTAAGTGGCTTCCAGATATAGAGAAACTGAAAGGGGCACATATAGAAAATAGATATATGAAGTACACATTCATCACAGTAAGTAATTTCGCTACTATCTCTTTTTCACAGTCACTTGATCATGCAATAAGAGCACATTTATATATCATCCATTGTCCAGTTTAGGAGATATCATACAGCCAAGCAAACCACTTGAGACAATATATGACGTTTCTCCTTGCCATTGTTGTAAAGCCTTCCCAAAAGGTGGACAGGGAAATTTAAAAGTGCCAGTAAGGGAAACAAACGAAGCCGCCTTGGGTTCTTTTTCAGGAGAAAGGCGGAATGAATGAATAAATAAATAAATAAATAAGAAGGGATGGGCAACTGCTGGGGAAGCGTGGGTGTGTGAGTGTGCTTGTGAAATAAAATAAATAAATAAATAAAATAAATAAACTGATTGCAGAGACGGGTGTAAAAGCTCAGCTCCCCCTCCCCCGCCCGCCCCATCCTCCCCGCGGTCCACTCACCGATGAAGAGGATGGGGAAGGTGATGAAGAGCAGGAAAACGTGAGGGACCACGTTGAGGGCGTCCACAAAGCAGCCGTTGTTGAGCACCCCGTTGTTCACCTTGTAGGCAGCCGAGTTGTTCTCGGTGCCACAGAAAGCCAAGGACATGTCGGCAGGCGGCGGCGGCAGAGACGTGCTGCGGGGTCCTGCGAGGGGAGACCCGAGGCACGCCCGCACATCCGCGGCGGAAGGTGAATGGGGCGGCTGGGTCCGGCGCTTTCCCGCCTCTCCGGGCCCTCCCACGCCTCGCCTCCGGCTCGCGCTCTTTTTCTCTACCTGGCCAGCCTGGCGCGTGAGCAGGAGAGGAAGGCAGCCGGCGGGTCTCCTCGCTGGAGCGCGCGCGCGCTGGATAGATAGCGCCGAGGCTTCCGCGAGCGAGCGCGCCGCTAGATTCCTTCCTCCGCAAACGAGGCAGGCAGGCAGGCAGATGAGAGATGCTGTGGCCCCTCTGAGAGCAGGCGGCTGAGGCAGCGGGAGGGACGGGCAGCGAGGGCGAAAGGACGCTCCTGCCTCTCCGGCAGCGGCTGAGAGAAAAAGGAGCCGCCGTTCGGGATTTAAAGGAATCGCCTCCGCTCGTCGGCCAAAGAGGCGCACTGTCTTTTTTTAGGGGGGGGGGGGGTCAAGGCTGAGGCCATCTCGTGCATAGGAAACCCGGCGTCCTTTTGTTTGTAAACATCCGTCATCCAGCCGCCCCCCCACTCGGTTATCTGGGGACATGTTCTGCTTTCTATTATTCCTCTGGCCAGAGGCCAGGAAACCCCCCCGGCTTTTTTTTTTTTTTTGGTTTAGGAAAAGCGCAAAGGAAACGGAGCGACTACTTCAGCCATCACAGCTGGACGAGGCTCCAGTTCAGCTGTACTAGTCCAAGAGATTTACCAGTGATCTCACAGGGTAGAGGTCAAAATAGTGGATGCTGGAAAAAATATATATATTGTCATTGTTACGTGCCTTGTAAAAATTCAGCACAAAGGTCAGCTCCTTGTAGGCCAGTCTTCGCCTTCATAGTCCTACATCATTAATCTCACCCCGATTATAGCCAGTAACTAAATTTTGGGTCCCTGCCGAATTAAAGAGGAAGGATGGGTCGTAGGTTTCAGTGAGTTTAACGTTGTTCACATGATACTGGTGTTAGGAAGGAAAGGATATTTGCCTTCTTCTGACGACCCCCTTTTCTACCACATTTGCTCCAGTAAGTGAGTCCTTCCTGAGAGTGGAAGCAGACTTTCTATTCACAGAATCCAAACCTGAAAGAGGGCACTTTTGATTTGGAAAATGACTGCCACGGTGCGTATTTGCTTACTGTAAACTGGGGCAACCCAGCTTTCTGAGATAATAAGTGTTAACTTCAGTCGCTGCACCTCAAAAAAGATGTAGTGGATCTGGAAAAGATGCAGAAGAGAGCCACTAAAATGATTACTGGGTTGGGGCATCTCCCTTATGAGGAAAGGCTACAGCATTTGGGCTTTTCAGTCTCAAGAAAAGGCACCTGAGGGGGGGACATGATTGAGATGTATAAAATTATGCAGGGGTGGATAAAGTGGATAGAGGGAAGCTCTTTTCCTTCTCACGCAATATCAGGGGAAATCCACTCAAATTGAATATTGGGAGAGTGAGAACAGAAAAAAGAAAATATTTCTTTTCTCAGTGTGTTGTTAGTCTATGGAACTCATTACCACAGGAATTAGTGATGGCATCTGGCCTAGATCCCTTTAAAGGGAGATTGGACAGATTTCTGGAGGAAATGTCCATTGCAGGTTACAAGCCATGATGGGGATGTATAATCTCCAGGCTTAAAAGGAAGGTAGTTCAAAATGCCAGATGCAGGGAAGGGGGTATCATGAGACAGGTATCTAGTTGCCTCGTGTGCTCCCAGAGGCATCTGGTGTGGCCACTGTGAAATACAGGAAGCTGGAACAGATGTGCCCTTGGCCTGATCCAGCAGGGCTCTTCTTATATTCTTAATTGGTGGTATTCTTTCTTTTACCAGGTAAGCAGAGCTTGGTAAAGTTATTTTGTGGACTACAACTCCCAGAATACCTTGGCCAGCCATGTGTTTTTAATGGTGGCTCATGACTGTGAAATGCCTTCCTTAAGGAGGTTTACCTGGCATCTACCTTGATTTTGTCCCAGGCAAAGACCTCTTAATGTTCCCATTTTTTTAAAATCCAAATTATTTTGCTGTGCTAATCTCCTTTATGCTATTTACTTCTTGTTGCTTCATTTGTTTTTATTATAATTAGAATTCTTTGAGGATTCCCTGTCATCATGTAGGCATCCTTCAGTCTCGAGAGACTATGGTAACGTGCTCTGTATGAAGGTCTTGGAACAGTGTCTTGTGTGGCTGAGAAGGCCAATTCGAGAATGACAATCTCTTCCACATTGAAGACAAATACAAACTTTCCCCTGTCCAGCTCCCTGGTTTTGCTTGTTTCGGGACTGCCTCTTTGACTCGGCCTGCTGCACAAGTGTCTCTTCAAATTGGGAGAGGCCATGATGCACCGCCTGCCTCCAGGCTGAACACTCAGATGTCAAGGTTTCCCATCTGTTGAGGTCCATTCCTAAGGCCTTCAGATCCCGCTTGCAGATGTCCTTGTAACGCAGCTGTGGTCTCCCTCGGGGGCGGCTTCCCTGCACTAATTCTCCATACAGGAGATCTTTTGGAATCCGACCATCAGGATTCCCTGACAATACACTGAAAAGTAGAGCAAAAAATTGCTACAATAAGCAAACAAATAATAATAAAATTGGAACCCATCAAATGCTTTCGTTGCAGCTGAAGCAAAGGTCACTGTAGTTCTGACAACCATGTTTTCATTTACTAAAAGAAATTCTGATATCAGTTGGATTCTGCCGATGAAATCTACGTTTTATGTTTTCAAAGGCGACATTAAGAAGCATATAGAGATATCTTCAGGAAGGCTGAAAAGTTTACAGGTACCTTGCAATAATCCAGTTCAACAACATGTATTAAGAATTATAGGGAATGTTTCTCCTGTCTTCCACTGCCTTCCAGAGTTCGGTCAAATTCATGTTGGTCGCTTCTATGACACTGTCCAACCATCTCATCCTCTGTCATCCCCTTCTCCTCTTGCCCTCACACTTTCCCAACATGAGGGCCTTTTCCAGGGAATCTTCTCTTCTCATGCAATGGCTAATGTATTGGAGCCTCAGTTTCAGGATCTGTCCTTCCAGTGAGCACTCAGGGTTGATTTCCTTCAGAACGGATAGGTTTGTTCTCCTTGCAGTCCAGGGGACTCTCAAGAGTCTCCTCTAGAACCACAAGTCAGAAGCATCAATTCTTCAGCAGTCAGCCCTCTTTATGGTCCAGCTCTCACTTCCATACATCACTAATGGAAAAACCATAGCTTTGACTATGCAGACTTTTGTTGGCAAAGTGATGTCTCTGCTTTTTAAGATGCTGTCTAGGTTTGTCATGGCTTTCCTCCCAAGAAGCAGGCGTCTTTTAATTTCGTGGCTGCTGTCACCATCTGTAGTGATCATGGAGCCCAAGAAAGTAAAATCTGTCACTGCCTCCATCTCTTCCACTTCTATTTGCAAGGAGGTGATGGGAGCAGCAGCCATGGTCTTTTTTTTTATGTTGAAGTTCAGACCATTTTTGCACTCTCCTCTTTCACCCTTATTAAGAGGTTCTTTAATTCCTCCTCACTTTCTGCCATCAGAATGGTATCATCTGCATATCAGAGGTTGTTGATATTTCTTCCGGCAATCTTAATTCCGTCTTGGGATTCCTCCAGTGTAGCCTTTTGCATGATGTATTCTGCATATAATTTAAATAAGCAGGGAGACAATATATGGCCTTTTTGTACTCCTTTCCCAATTTTGAACCAATCAGTTGTTCCATATCCAGTTGTAACTGTTGCTTCCTGTCCCACATATAGATTTCTCAGGAGATAGATAAGGTGGTCAGGCACTCCCATTTCTTTAAGAACTTGCCATAGTTTGCTGTGGTCCACACAGTCAAAGGCTTTTGCATAGTCAATGAAGCAGAAGTAGATGTTTTTCTGGAACTCTCTGGTCTTCATAATCCAGCACATGTTAGCAATTTGGTCTCTAGTTCCTCTGCCCCTTCGAAATATAGCTTGTACTTCTGGGAGTTCTCGGTCCACATACAATCGGTCCACGTTGAAGCCTACCTTGTAGGATTTTGAGCATAACCTTGCTAGCGTGTGAAATCAGTGCAAATGTTCTTACCTGGGTTTTATGTCATTCAAATTTTAATTATGTTACAAGATATCTTGAAAGTTTTTTAAGTCTGTGCCTTTCAAGATATCTTGTAACATAATTAAAATTTAAATGACATAAATTATTTAAATAATGTGTAAACAAACAAACAAACAAACAAACAAACAAACAAATAGGAGAGCACTTGGAACCCTTTTTTCTTCGTTCTTTTGATTCAACCATATTATGAACATAGCCATAAACAGTCTTTTAGATTTTCCTTTTATTCCATATAAGTTGTTGTTGTTTAGTCATTTAGTCGTGTCCGACTCTTTGTGACCTCATGGACCAAAGCACGCCAGGACCTCCTGTCTTCCACTGCCTCCCGGAATTGTGTCAAATTCATGTTGGTCACTTCAATGACACTGTCCAACCATTTCATCCTGTCGTCCCCTTCTCCTCCTGCCTTCACACTTTCCTAACATCAGGGTCTTTTCTAGGGAGGCTTCTCTTCTCATGAGATGGCCAAAGTATTGGAGCCTCAGCTTCAGCATCTGTCCTTCCAGTGAGCACTTCATATAAGTAGTCTCCCTTTTAACCTCCAGCTGGGTATCTACTGCCTTAATCAAGACTCAAATGGCAACACCCAATGGCTTGTGTTTACTTATGTTTGGAACAATTGCAGTCCATCTGTGTAATGTTCTTAATCAGTTCCACAGCCTCAGTTTAACACCAAGAATAGAATTGAGTCTCTTTACTTATAAAATTAACAAGATGCTGTCATTGTAAAACAGTTGGATTTCTGATAACTATGTGATGATACAAAGGCTTGTCGAAATACTCTACACAAACATGTTTAAAAATACATGTTCTGAAAAAGTCACAATAGCTGTTTGCAAATGAATTTTGCTAGTGTATAGGTTTGGCCTGCTTCTCATTTATGCTGTCATTAAAAAGAGGTGTGAACAAATCGAGTCAAGCTGTGTCCAGATGGAAAATCTCACTCATAGTGTAATCATTATCACATAGTGAGTGCATGTTTTGTGTTCCTTTAGAGCTTACACATACAGTATCTTTTTCTGGGTCAGGTTATGGAAAGGAGAGCCAAAGAATCCACTTGACACTTATTTAGTCCCCAGTACACTCAGATCCTGGGATTAATCCCTGCTGCTTCCTAATCCAAATGGACAGGAGATGGATGGAATAACAATACAGCGTTGTTGTTGTTTAGTCGTTTAGTCGTGTCTGACTCTTCGTGACCCCACGGACCAGAGCACGCCAGGCCCTCCTGTCTTCCACTGCCTCCCGGAGCTGAGCCAAATTCATGTTGGTCGCTTCGATGACACTGTCCAACCATCTCATCCTCTGTCGTCCCCTTCTCCTCTTGCCTCCACACTTTCCTAACATCAGGGGCTTTTCCAGGGAGTCTTCTCTTCTCATGAGATGGCCAAAGTATTGGACCCTCAGTTTCAGGATCTGTCCTTCCAGTGAACACTCAGGCTTGATTTCCTTTAGAATGGATCGGTTTGTTCTCCTTGCAGTCCAGGGGACTCTCAAGAGTCTCCTCCAGCACCACAATTCAAAAGCATCAATTCTTCGGCGGTCAGCTTTCTTTATGGTCCAGCTCTCCCTTCTGTACATCACTACAGGAAAAATCATAGCTTTGACTATTCTGACTTTTGTTGGCAAGGTGATGTCTCTGCTTTTAAAGATGCTGTCAAGGTTTGTCATCGCTTTCCTCCCAAGAAGAAGGCGTCTTTTAATTTCGTGGCTGCTGTCACCATCTGCAGTGATCATGGAGCCCAAGAAAGTAAAAACTGTCACTACCTCCATATCTTCCCCTTCTATTTGCCAGGAGGTGAAGGGACCAGTGGCCATGATCTTAGTTTTTTTTATGTTGAGCTTCAGACCATTTTTTGCGCTCTCCTCTTTCACCCTCATTACAAGGTACCAATACCATATCTTGTCTCAAATGCACCTACAATTGTATTCAGTTGTGTTAGAATTGTCTACTGCAAAAAGTGATGTTTTATTTTTATTTGCCCTTAAGACACCTGAAAATCAGCTTCTCCTTACTTTAAGCTCTGAAGCATTCATAGAAAGCCTTCAGTGACTTCAATTTAAACCATACAGTTCAGCATAACATAACATGAAAAGCACAGATTATGATCCTGTCACCACCTAACTCTTAAAAAATTAATGGCCCCATCAGTAGACAAGAATTTATAGTTCCAGTAGCAATGGGTGGTGGAGAAAGTCTTGAAGAATAGCTACTGAAAAAATATTTGTACCTTTTGTATTAATGACTAATAGCAACTCAAATTATTTTAAAATGTCAATGGCAGAACCATGCAGATATTTGTATTGCTATTGTTTTTTTTCCTTCAAGCCAATCTTTATTGCTCTTATACTTTGCATGTTTCTCGTACTTTCTTGGAATATTCACTTTTACGAAAGGAAAAGAAAAAAAAAGAATAGTAAAGCAAAAACGTGACCTTTAATATTCTGTCAGGATGTTTTCAAAAGAAGCAGCATTTGTTTTCTTAATCTTTTCTCATTGAGTTTCACATACATCCAATTGTCAGGGTCATTCTCTCTCTGCATGTTCACACTGGAAAAAGTGATTCTTTCCTTTCCAAATTTCCTCTTAAGTAATAACTAAACAAAAACCTATTAAAGCCATGGGGATATCCTGAGGTCTTTGACCTGCAGGATGGGAAAAGGGAGAGGGAGAGGGGAGAGGAAAGCTGAAGAAGCAGGGTCATAACATGTATTGCTTCAAACATAATTGATGGAGAAAATATTGGCCGTTATTTCATGAATCATAGAAATGCCATAGGGTTGAACCCATATAGCTTTTCTAGCACTTTTGTATGAAAGATACAGTTGCATGGGATTTAGGAGTTAAATAACAGGAGAATCAAAGAAGAGTTGCTGAGATCTCTTTCTCTGAAAAGTTCAACATTTGTTTCTAATTAATCAATTAATTATCACCCATGGCCAGACTCCCAAGGTTTTCTAGGTATAAAAAGCTCAGAGGTAGTTTACCAGTCACTCCTGCTTGCACTCTGGGACTGTGCAGTTTGACCAAAGCTACACAGCTGACAGGGACTGTAATCCCCCCCCCCCTTTTTTGGTATAATACTGAGAACACTTTGGCTACCAGGCAATTTAAAAATTAAATAAATAGAGAGATCATGGACTCATAAAAATCGGCTCTTGCCAGCACCAAGCAAAATAAAAGTTCTTATAATTTAAGGTGCTACTGGATTCTTCCTCTTCTTCTTTTGCTGTTCTTCTTTTTTCCTGTAGAGATCTGTGAGGGCATACTGGAAGGCTTATGATGTTCTTAGCTTGGTCAAGATATTCCTAAGAGACCCTCAATGTCTTTTAAATGATGTGAGAAATTTTTGCTCTAAATTATTGCCTTACATAGATACAAACACTGACTACTTTTCAAAAAGTATACAACTGGTCTTGAGAAGCCTGGAGCATTCTTCCAAAGTAAATAGTTCCATATGTTAAGTAGCAAGTACATGCTCCAAATTCAGACTGTTATGTAACCAAAAGGACATCACCCATGCCCAATGGGGAGGTACCAGTAGTTCCAAGGGAAACCTTAGGTTGGCATAAGTATTAATAGTAAATTAGGAAAAAAGAGAGAGAGATGCTCCTGCCCACCCCCTGCAAAAAGTTATTGAGGACTGACAATCCTGAGTTATCATGGAATTAGGTAGTTTGGAACTTGAGGTAGAAAACCTAAGAAGGGGGTAATCTGGATGGAATTTTTGGGGTCAAGAATCAATCTGGATTCTTGGATGGAATTCTAGGCAGAACTATTTCTTGTGTCATTCCTTTGGTACTTACATGTACAAACAATAATATAGGAATAACTACTAAAATACATGGTAGTTCATCTGTTTGGCAATACCCATTTTATTTTCAAAATACTTCATTGTGAGAAACAGTAATTAAGAAAAATCAGCTGTGTATCTGAATAGCTTGGCACACCGGAACAACAATGCATAAACAACAGAGAACACAGAGAAACGAGGAATATGTATGTGTGGTGTCTATCAAGATTCAAGACAGCCATTCAAAAAAGCGGTAGGCTTTGCGTTATTCATATAAATGTTTTCTGTGAAAGTCCCCACCCCCTGCTTTTTGCTTTAAGCATTAGTGAATTAGAAAATTTACACGAAAGGCAAAACAATATCCACAGCTGAAATCGGATGTGTTTGTAGCATATAGATAAAAAGCTATGGTGGCATGAGCACTGCACTTGAAAGCTACAATTCTGCCAAATTTCAAACCAAGGCAATGCCACATTTGATAATATAAAACTTGCCACATCTAACTGTTTCACTGCAACATTTCAAAGGGCATGTAATATGTTACTATTAGAATTTGGTAAAAGCTGCTGCTATGCTACCTTCAGCCTTCCCAAGGAAGGTAGCTCTTCCCAAGGGTTTGGGGAAGTTCAGAGAAGAGGTTCAGCAGTTATCAAGATTCTCCTGCCCCATTAAAATCTCTGGGTAGAATTCTGTGTTGTTCTCTCCATTGAGCCAGTGAATGGATAATTTCCAAGCCTGTACAAGGAGGTCTCTCCTAGTACTTTCTTGTACAAGCTCAAAAACTGTTGAACCTCTCTTGAATGCATAGAAGGAATGAGCAGCATTCTGCACTATGGCAGCCACTGTCAGCAAGGTCATATCGCAATTCTGAACTGCTGCCAGTATCCTAGTGTTTTCAGAGAAATTCCAACATACACAGGGAATCTAGATGCAATGCATCAATGTGTAATACTGGTTTCTTTTGCTGTGGAATGAGTGTTGGGGTGCACTACCTCCTCCATTATCTTCTCTATTTAGTACTTTTTACTCATTCCTTAGCTTGTGATCTCCTCAGTATGCTTTTTCCTGCAAAATCTGCAAAATTGTTTACACATACTCTAGAAATGCCTCAGCAAAAACTCTTTCTTATAATCTAAGGTGACAATTCCTACAGTCCACAAAGGGATTCTGGAGGAGGTCCTACGTCTATAAACAATAGAAAAGGAAAGCTAACATACTGTTGAAAATGTGTGGGGCTGCAGCCGGACATTCAAATGCAGAAACCTGATAGATTACAATCTGAATCCAAATGACAACAGAAGCATGTTGTAGTCATACTTTGGCTGTTTCTCTTGCACCTTCTTGTTAGTATGTTCATTGGACATAATTGTAGATATTTTTGAGTAGACATGTCTAGGAAAAACAGGATGACCATTTCTAAACAACTTTCTATGCAGTGCACTTAGAATGGTTTCAGCATTAGCTGTTGATTCTTTCTATTGTCAGCAGCAGTTGGCAGCTACAACTAAACATTGATCACAGTCCACAGAAGGAAATGAAATTATATGTCACTCCAAGAGTTCAAACACAAGGTGTGCCTTGAATCATTTGCATAATCTCATCTTCATTTTCTTCATACTTCATTAATGGAAGAAGTCTGCAACTTATCAAAGGTGACTTGATACCTGTTCATTGGTTGTTCTCTTCAAAATGCATGGATAATTATTAAAAAAATGTCCTATAATAGAGAATGAAAGGATTGTTAAAGTCTGGGTGTGTCAAGTTATAATAAAAACTGAGAAAGAAAATTTACACGGCAAGAAGAAACAGTATTTGTAACATTTAATCTTACAGAAAATGATCACAAAAGACTCATGCAAATCAACCAGACAAGTAGCAACTTAAATACACTTACTGATTATAAGCAATCAATAGTTTTGTCCAACAGATTTGGCAATAGTAAGGAAAATAGGGGAGAAGGAGGGTCAAGTGAGCTGATTTTTACACTCATACATTTTGTATTTCTTCCTTATGACAAAATGCATTCTCTCTCTCTCTCTCAGTTCTGGAGCTGACACACTATGCTGTGGAGGAGATGTATGAACTAACCCCATATACTGTAATACTATTCCAGAAGCCCCAAAAGAAGTATAACTCACCTATACTCTTCTCCTACTGTAAAGTCCAAAACGTTAGAAGTAGCTGAATAAGTCTGGTCCTAAAGCTGCTTATAAAGTTTATAAGCAATGTTAGGACTGGAATTAAGACACTTTGCCTAAACTTGAATTGGTGTATTAACATCTTAGAAATGTCAATGAATGAATGAACCCATGCACTTACACTACAATTATATTCATCTGCCTACTGTTGTCCCATTGCCTTCAATGGGTCTTACTCTCAAGTATGTGAGTGTAACACTTACTTTCAAATCTTATTGAAAGCAAGATGTATTCCTGAGTAAATATGTAGGATTTTCTCTAAGAAGTTCAAATTAACTATGTTATAGAATGAAATCGATGAGTAAGTGGATTACTAACTCACTGACAATAAAGCAGATAATTATTAATTTTGCACAATATGAAAAAAGTGACAGTCCAACATGAACAAGAATGTCTGCTAAGTTATAATATAGTTACATATTAGTTACTGGGAAGAAAGGTTGACTGCAGATAAACTTTTGTATGGTGTTTGAAAAAACATACAAAAGAAAGCAAATGTTAAGCATGTCCATTTGTAGTTTATAAAAAGATCTCGGTAATACTGCATAGTACATGGACACAGTGGCAATAGAAACATTATTCCAGCTATAAGTGCAATAGAAGGTTCTATTTATGTAGGATGGAGCTGGAGGCAATCCTGGAAAGCACTCAGTAGTGCTTTTGAGAGGTAGCACAGAGTGAAGTGAAGTGAAGAAAGGAAGATGAAAAAAGAAGCAGCTTAGAGAAAAATACAGGGTCAGTTATAACATTAGGCAGAGAAAGAGAATTGACTTAGGCAGAGATTAGGGATGTCAGAACAGGACAACAAATGCTCAGTTATTTACTTTTTTACTGTATATTTATGGCCAGGATACGAAATGGTATTTGTGAGATTTCCTTCCTTGTGTCCCAAAATAATTTGGCTGGCTTTGGCTACCACGTACCTCAACAGGTTGGGGTTAGGGGTAGGACACCATCCATAAATGTCATTAGGGATTATATACAATACTAAATAATATTGCCCAGTATGGGTATAAAACCATTACAATTAGCCGCAGTATTTACTGTTAGCTTCTGTGTGTGGGGTTGCCATGAGTTCCCCAGGTGTGCTGTCTGCCTTTGCCCCATGCCTTTAGGAAGTTCTGGAGCTCCAGGGCCCCAGTAGGGTGCAAAGGTGGGGGGTGGGAGGACAGCCAACAGGTGGAGGCAAGGAGGCAAGAGGCAACGTGGCACACTTGGGTGAGGAGGCAGAAGCCAGCTCAGAGGAAGGACTGCTGAGGATAAAGGGGGAGGAAAGGAAACATAAGGGCGAGAACTACATGGTGGACTCAACAGAGTCAGCCAACAAGAAGTGGAGTGAAGCTGAGGAAGGGTTGGACACTATCCTGTCTTCTGGTGGGGACTACGAGTACCTGTAGGTGCAGGACTCCTGGATGGATCCCTTCAACCACAGGGAGATGCTCTGGGAGGAGCCCCATCACCAGTCCACCCCCATCACTGTCACCAAATCCCAACTCTGTGGAGGCCTTGATGACCAGCAGGGTACTTGGCCCACACCCTGACATGAAGGAAGGAGATGCAAATGCCAGTGGGAGTGCCCATGGTGGCAGCAGGAGGGGCTATGGACCCATCTCCATTTCTGAGCAGCTGGCAGTTCAAGTCCTCCCTGCAGGGACTGGAGTGGCTCAGGGCAGACTTGAAGCCTTGACACCACTTAAGCACTGAGAAGCCACTGACCTCAGTGCTGGGAACTATGGCTTGGAAGGGGACTGAACCTTCTAGGGGTTGAATGACAGGAACTTGACACCCATAAGGAATGGAGAATCAGGGCATGTGTGCCGGCATCAGTATTTCGTATCCTGCTCTCTTGTAATAACATTTAGTTCTAGTAGTTTGAATAGACAGGAGTTCATGGAACCCCTTACTAATGATGGCTTGGTCAGTGGTGCTACCCTTAATGGGGACAGCAGGAATTGCAACTTCCAAACACATCTGAAGAAATACGTGGCATCAAAACAAAGTGTACATTCCAAAAAGACTTTCAGTGACATGAAAGGACTAGGCAGGCACATGCATAGCAATGTTCACATTTGCCGCAAAGAACATAAGAGGTGCATCTAGCACAACTATTCACCAGGGCGGACCACTGCAGTAGTTAACAGCTGCAGGAGAAGCCTTTGTCTGTACACAGATACACATTCAAAGCCCTTTCTGTTTAGGCTGGGGAAAAGAAATGCTGAAATGAATAGATAGGACAGGAAAATAAATACAAAGGATAGGAAAACATAGAAGAATGGAAATAATTGTTCAGAATACTAACATTCTCTTTGTCTGCTGGCTGGTAACTACTGATACTAACAACTATTTCTGTCCTCACCATTTTTTGGCCGTTGATCTTGGTCAATATATTGCAATAATGTCTTGAAAATCAGTTACCATTCATGATTTGAATGACAAGCTGACATTGGTATAAATATGACATGGACATTGTTAAGGCTCCATTCTTCCTCCTGGATGTCTTAATGATGAATATTTTCAAAACTTACTCATCAGACCCTGGAAAAGTTAACATCTTTACACATGGAATTCTGGGAATGGTAATTTCCATATCCTGCTACTGATAGACGTGACTTAATTGAACTGCAAGTGAGGTTCAAATGAAATATTTATATGGATTTCAGGGATGGTCTGGCACCCTAAAATGTGCCCCTTTGAAACCTCTGGTGGCACAAATGACAATTTTTATCCAAAACAAACAAAAAAGCGTACCAAAATAAACAAACAAAACAAAAATGGAAAAGAGTGGTGCTGTTTAGAAAAACACGGGTTTGAAAAATGATCCCTGTCAAGGTCCAAGGTAATTGAAATAACACAATCATTTTAGTATCTTACTTTGGGTTTGGGGGTGGGGAGATTTTAGTTGGAGTGTGTGGTATTGTCACAACAACATTTATATTAAAGTTTAAGAGTATTAATATTTAAAGCCCTGGAAATTACTTAAAGGTCTACTGTCACTCATACAAATCTTCCTTGGATTTATAATTGTCTTTCTAGGATTTTTTCTAGTTTTAGAAAAGCCTCCACTCTTTCTGTTTTTAGACTAGTTGTCATGGGTGGCCCAAGTGTCAGCGATAAGGAGGAATTTGCTCTCATGGAATCCTGCATCTATTTATTATTTTAATATATAAACGGATAACAAGGACCAAACAGTATTTTTCTCCAGGAGATGCAGCTAATCACTAAAATACGCATACACTTATCAGAATGACTAACAAACAGAAGCATTTAAGCAAAATGTTTTGGCTCAAGAAGGCAGAACTTGAAATATTTTGATGAAATACTTCTGTTTGTTAATCACTCATATAAATGTATTTATTATTTTAATGGATATGCATTCTGCTGTAGTGGTGCATGCTATGTGTTTGACTTAAGTTAGTATACTACTATGCAGCATTCTTGCAGATGGCCAGGACAGTTTAATTTAAATAAGATTATTTTATTTTATTTTATTTTATTTTTTAGTGTTCTGCTATTTTTATTTGTCTCTACTGCTCATTAATTTGACTGGTTTATAAATGACACTATTTCTCCATATGATTTTTTAGTCTGTTACAAATATACAGTAAATCCAGAAGCAGGCTTTCACATGCATGACTAAGACATATGATAAAATATTTAGGCATAACGTAGGCATTATGGGCCTTTATAGAATGATACAATGAAGAAGATGACTGGAGATTAAAAATAACATTATTTAGTCAGATTTTCCATTAAAAATATAATATTCTGACTGAAAACCCTACGTGCACACTGATAAAATCCAGAGTGCTCATGAACAATCTGCAATGGTAGTAACAACCTACAAGTTTAAGAAAGGATTACACTTTGTTTTCCGCATCAGACTTCTGGCTCAAACAGAAGTATTTAAACTGAACTATTTGCAGTTGTGGAGGCAACAAACAAGAAGTCTGTAACAAATCTCATGGGAGAGAAAATCTACAAAGTTTCACCGTCCAACCTTCCCAACATAATGAAGCATTGCTGATACATAGCTATACTTTTGCAAATTATAAAGCCTTTATTACTTGCAGCTTTCTTGATAGTCCTGATGAACAACTGTTCTTATTGCAATCCAATGTCAGTGGCTTTAATGTCTTTTCTCTGATAAATATTGGCTGAAGCAGTGGAACTTAAACACTGTGAAAGGCTGAGGGCATCATCAGTTGTGGAGGTTTTCTGGAAATTAAACATTTTTGACCCTCCCCCCATCCCCAGAAGGTCCAGAGGCTCCCATGGGATCCTTTTCATTGGGCAAAATTGCTGGAAGCCACAGAATGGGGGCAAGGGGTGAGGAATCTAAAACCACCACAGCTAATGACATTATGTGACATATGCTACACTGCTGGATTCCAGCCACTACTTTTCCCTATCTTCTGGAAAATGTTCTTTTTCCAGTTTTCTTTAGACTTTTTCTGAATTCCTTCCAAAGCTGGCCCTCCAAAGCTGGGCCCAAATCTGAGAACTCTGCATTGAAGCCCAATAAAAGAGGCAGCTAGTTTATTTCTGAACAAATATAGACACGAAAGCTTACATTTCATCATCATATTCCTTCGGAGGGGACACTGCAATAACCAGGTCAATCCAATCCTGCAAAAGAAAGTCTTTGTCAATATTAGAACTAAGATTTTTTATAAATGTAAACCTTTAAATCAGACTTTACTTATTGTAACATATAAGGAAGCTCACTATTCTATATATTTCTACTAAGTGTTTAAACATGAAAACTTGATTTCTGAATTACATGCAGTCTATCCAATGAATAATATGAGTCAGTGTAAATTTATCCCAGAATGCTTCTGGCCATATCATTATGAATCCATCACATAGCATGTATAACAGCAGTAACCAAAACCAAAATCTTGTGGCAATTCGAAGACTAACAGAGCCATAAGACTTGGTTGTTGTTGCTTCTGTTATACTGTATAGCCAAACACAACTGTCTCTTTGAAGACAACCCTATAGCACTTTTCACTGTCCCCCATTCTACATTGGTGGAAACTTCTGCCAGAACCAGAGAAATTCACAACTTTGCCAGCATCCCTAATTGCAGTTTTTCTACGCTTACCAACAATTAATGCTAGGGAAAGATTACAATACTAATACTTATCAACCTTATTACCATCTGAAAGTAGCCGTATGATGAATATCTTTCAAAGAAAACATTGTATAAAACAACAACAGCAGCAAAAACAACATGCTTTGAAGTCAATTTCGACATGGTTATCATTTCCAGGATTTTCTAGCAATAAAGTACTCAGAAATAGGTTCTAATATTCGTTAATTATCTATTTCCACATAGTAAGGACAGAAAGATATATATGAATACCTGATATAATTTAGATTTCAACATTCTGCTCACTTACCCCACCCATATTCCAGGCTTTTGCAAGGGTTGCTTGAGCTTCATCCAGCGTAACATCTAACAAAATCTTCCCATTTACAGCCATTATTTCATCCCCTTTCACAACACCGCCTGATCAAAGAAATACAAGTTAATGACACAAGAAAATTATTTCCACAGGCACGTATTACTCAGCCTCATGGGGGCAAAACATCAAGCTGGAATATTTATTAAAGAGAAGAAGACTGGATAATGGAAACTATCTCATATCATGCCAAATAATTCCAATCTATTTATTTATTTTATTAAACTGAAACCTAATAAAATGGTGTTATATATGGTACTAGGCAATATATTAACTATATTCAAATCTTTAAAAAAAACCTTCAGGTTTATGAATGTGGGATATCATGTTTCTGTATCTATGATTCAGAATGCAAGGAAATGACCTTATACTGCTGCATATATTATGTTTGTGTTGCCAACAGGAAAATGAATGCAGCCTGAATGATGACATATCAATGGCAGCAGTCAAGATGGTCTAAAGGGTACCTTCTTGTGTTCACTACTATTCAGATTTGCTGGAAAACAGTCATGAGGATTGCTCTGTATTTGGGTGAGAAGTGGTTAACTGATGAAAAAAGGAGGCCGCTTCTGGGATTTTCCCTTGCTTGGTGTCACTTTGTAAATGGTGTTGATCCGAAATCCAGTTTCAAAGTTATAATTTCTTGCTTGAGCTGCCCCCATTTTTACAATTGTCTTGTAGAATGTTGATTTGCTCTGCTGCACAAAACAGCCTCATACTACTGTATGATTTATTTGGGTGCAAGTGCGTTACTTGTATTGCCAGAGCTCTTAATCAAATAAATGACATTTTAATCAACACAGTTCCCCCTGTTCTACCACTTACCCCAGTCCCTGAATTTCACATAGCTAATAGACAAAACTGGATAAAAGTATAAACATTTGGTATTTTTTAATTTAGATACCCTGGAGTTCAAACTGATGGGAATACATTTTTAAAATTACTATAAATTTACTAGGCCCCGTGGTACAGTGGTTAAACTGCAATACTGTAGTCAAGCCTCTGCTCACAGCCTCAGTTTTATCCTGGTGGGTTCAGGTAGCCAGCTCAAGACTGATTTTCAGCCTTCCATCCCCCTGAGGCCAATAAAATGAGTACCCAGCCCACTGCGGGGCAAAGTGCTCCTTGCATAATTATGATGTAAACACCCCAGAGAGTGCACTAGTAATATGTGGCAGTATATACAGTAAGTCAAAACAACAATAATAAGTTTCAAATGAATGAATGAATGAAATTGATCTTTGCCCTACAAATTATGCTACTGAAAATTAAATTCACAATTTTTGAAAACCTGAAGTAATTAATCAGTTAAGCTGATGAGCAATCTCATTTATTCTGTCTTTATAGCAGCGACCCACCATGCTTGTCAGCAGCACCACCTTCATAAACACCAGACACCACTATTTTTCCAATTGGGGAATCAATGCCTCCTTCTACTGCAAGATCTAATGATCCTTCCTGTCAAAGATAAGTTTAGTTCAGAAGATTTTTTTAAAAGGTTACCATTATAGAAGGAAATATATAGGTCAAGCTTTTGATGGTTTGAAATTTACACACAATTTCAAAGGTACTTTCTTTTGTTCCTAGCAGTATGGAACAAGAGCTTTACTTTGGAAATAAACATTTATATTTCACTTTATTTA